TCGGTAGTTATCATAATTTTCTGTGTGGTTTTCAAGATTTTGAACTGTTTATTCACGTATTTCTTAGAACCTACGCGTCACCCGCTGTAAAGTGCCGTCTTCATGCCCTAATATATCTAATTATATGACACCAGGGCTCGGTGGTTGTCAGAGCTCTGGCAGTGAACTGTGTGAATGGTTCTTGAGGAACTAGAAAATAACGATGCTCACGTGCAGTTCCAGCAGCTTATCCTTGCAGGCATGGGCGAAAATAATTTCGGCGTTGTTATGAGGCTTCGGCAAACTTTTATGATATTATTTCAAGGTGTTCAATAATTAGACGTATAAGGTATTCAAATGTAATGAAGCATTCTCTTGACGAGTGCAAAAACTTGCTTTTGAATGTTTTAAACGCAAGGATATCCATGATTGCTATCGTGCTAGTTTTGCAGCATTTACACGTGTTAACCGGGTAACGATGAATAGTAGCATCGAAATTCACGAGATTTCTCTTCACAGCTACTAATTCCTGGTGTTTTATTTATGGAGCATGGCAACATTTTTTGCTATATACTCATGGGGCAATCAGAAATCGTTCTTTTCGATTTTTTGAGGTGACAGCAAAGCGAAATAAATAATTATTACACGTGACACTGAGTCTGTTTCAGTCATGTTGCGTCTCACTCTGTCTTGCTGTCATCAATACAGACAACATAATTATAAAAATATAGCGAACACGTTGCAACTTCCAACACGTTCATTAAATATCAATAATTTTGTTCTACATCCTACTTTTTGATTACGCATTTCCAGCTCGAGCCGAGTTTGTCGTATTGCCTGGCGGAAAGCGGCAGACGTCAATAAGGCAGTGGCTGAATTCGCAAGGAATTCACCTGAAGCTCATCGCGCTGCTGGACGGCAGGCGTGCTTCTATCACGCATCCAACGTTAGCCGCCTGTGCTGTGCCAATGTATATATTGTTTATGTTCGTTCTTCCTGACCGCCCGTTTACGGCTCGTGGATAAAAAAAAAACGATGTGCTTCCGGCTGTGGCATCCGCCTCTGCAGATGGCGATTCCAGATAGGCGTTATTATACTCTGACGTTTAGCCCTCTTTCTCATGCATGCGTACGAGGGAAAGGGCACAATTTCGAACAATCTGAGCTTTTCCCGTAGTCATTAAGCTTATTTGGCACTCTCGGTAAGTGGTGGATACCTAATGGGGGGGGGGGGGGGGGAGGCGATCGCCCTTCCCAGTAAAGAAGTCTGTGTCAGCACGTCCCCCTCACTTCTGAGCTTGTATAGGCTACAGACTACCATCAATTAGGACAAAAAAGTGAAACGATTGTGCTTTGAATGGGTTCAAGCTGGTAAAAACAAAAAAAAGTCATGACCACATCCCCTCTCCGAAACCCGGTTGAAGATGTTGAAAAGTGCCTCTTATGGATAAAGTATAAATTTTCTTAACTGTTCAAATGACATATGAGATGAATTGCTTTAAAATATATATCGCTGAAGCTTTCCAGTGAAGCTAAAACTTGTCCCCACGGTGTTAATCACTGCGTTCATACCGACAGTACAAAAACTTTTTTAATTATTTATTTGTTTAAACAAATGCCTTTAATTCAGCCATATTCAGCGTACAAACGTACAATAATGAAGGGAAGGGCATAAATTAGCACGTGATAACAAGTTGTTTAAAGATACAAGTTATACAGATATAATATCCTGATTTCACTTTTGGCTAATTTCACTTACAAGAACAAAAGCAAAAGTGCGCCAGGTGAAAAACACTGCAATCAAAGTACCTATATGTCCTGGACGTGATAGAAATTGAGATCGTTAAATACACTGCCAAGAGAGATATCATGAAAAACCATAATGTGCAAAAAGTAACCATTCATTACTACCACGAGAATGGCATCGTACTTGTCGAAGTTGATGCTGGTGGAGATTTTCGAAGGGAGGGTGTCCTCATCGGTGGGAAGAGAGGGTGGCACATAGGGTGCCTCCTTTGGCTTGCCTTTGGGGGCCTAAGTGAAGCACAAGCTCGTTCATGCAGTCCTTGCGATGTGGCCCCTCTGCCGGCACTTGAAGCATCCGCGAGGCCGGTCACCCTCGTCTCCGGAGTACTCTCCCCCTCGTCCGCCGCCAGCGTCCAAGTTGGGGCAGTCGCGGCTCGACTCTTCCTCATGCCGCGGATCGTCCGAGGCCACCGTGTTTGCATCACTATCGTTGTCAGCCGCACCATTGTTGTTCGAGCCAGAGCTGGCAGTACCGTTGGTGTTGCCCCAGCTGGACTCTGCCAGTAAACCATAGGACTGCACTCCCGCGCCCCAGCCCGAGGAATCTGTTGTGGTGGTTGTCGTTCCTTCCCAGTCATTGCTCGACTGTTCAACACCTGGTCGCCTTGCAGCCAGTGCTCCTCGACCCATGACTGTCTTTTCCATGCCATGGCCTGGGACAAAGCCGAAGCCGCCGGTAGTGTAGCCAGTCAGAGCCTCAGTCATTTCAGTCTCACTTCCCGCTTCAGACCGTGTCACTCCCATGATGACGGTCTCCTGCGATTCTCGATTGACGAAGCAGCTGTGTCGTTGGTTCCTTGATAACTTCCAACACGTGTTGAACCTCGGCCCTCACTTCTGTCCTAGTAGCCGTGATCAGGCGTGCTCAGAGTATCGCGAACAATCACCGATTCAATGCCGTAAGACTAGGGCGCAAACAGGTTCGATATCTCAGCGTCGTCGTCTTCCTTCTAGCTGCTCGGAGCAGCAAGCACGTGCATCAGTCTTCGTTTGCTTCGTCCTTATGCGCAACGATATACAACAATGTGTAGAAGTCATCTAGTCAGCCATACACAAACTCGAAATTACGTCACCTAAACTAAGTAAACAAAAAGTTACGGGAGTTGATCGTCCTGCCGCGGTGGTCTAGTGGCTACGTTACTCTGCGGCTGATCCGCAGGTCGCGGGATCGAGTCCCAGCTGCGGTGGCTGCATTTCCGATGTAGGCGGAAATGCATGCCTCTGTGCTCAGGCTTGCGTGCACGTTAAAGAACCCCAAATGGTCAAATTTCCGGAGCCCTCCACTGCAGCGTTTCTCATAATCATACGTGGTTTTGGAACGTAAACCCCACAAATTAATCAAATCAACGGGAGTCAATTGTCATGTAAATAAGAAAGGATAAAATCAAATTATACAGCAAAAACCATCTATTGATGTTCATCACTCGAAAACATAAATGTAGGACTTATTATTACGAACTTCCATTTATCGTAAATAGTGCCAGAGTAACACAGTACAACAAGAAGGAAGAAGAACACAAGTGTCAGCAGACAACTGCTTTCATTGAAGGTAGGACCTGAAGCATATTTATCCATATGCAGCATAGACATCACGTTTCGAGGAATAATGGAACGTCGACACTAGAATATTGCGCAGTCACTTTGATACCTTATGTTTGCTATGCTCCACCAAACTTTGTAACATTGTGCCTTTGCAGCTTGCGATTGCACGTACATGTAAATTTAAGGCCTCGTTTTCTTCTTAGGAAACAATATAAATAAAAACTACCAGACAATAATGCCAGAGAAAGAATAGGGAATGCCATTATAAGTCATTGTAATGTCAATGTGAAGAAATAAAAGTGGACGAAACAAATTAGTCCCACGTTCAATTCCTGCCTCTGGCAACTTCTCTTATCGTCCTCTTTTATTTGTTCACATTTACATTGCAATAACTACTAATGACATCCCACACACTTTCCCTGGCATTATTTAGCTCGGATTAATATTATGCACATACCTGTGATTCTCCCTCCAATAAAATCAGTCATGTAATTGTGCCAGTGTTTGCCTTTCTTCCTCTAATCGTGGCATTGCGAGCTTGTGCCACTCGACCAACAGATTGAAGTTGGCTGAGTGTTACCCAAAGATCACAATGACAGAACTTCTGATCACAGAAGCGACACGGCATTGGACACTAATCTATGGTGATTTAATGTTTTTTATCATTGTGTAAAGGCAGCACCTCTCTGTAACAGTATTATGGAAAGAGGAATATCTAAATGTGTCAGAGTTGCAAAAGTATTCAGCTAGCGTTTTATTATGATTACAGGATATACAGGACTTAGAGAAGGTGACGCACATTGATGAACGTGTGCTAAAGTGGTTCTGCAGAGGGTTATGTAAGTGCAATTTGACAAGAAACCGATCCGAGAAATTATTAGGTTCAGTAGGCATTCTGACCCACCACATTTAACAAAAGAGTACACATCCTATCTTATATTTCTATTCTTCAATCATGACTTGAACCAGAGACCACTCATTCTTCAGCCAAAAATCAATTTTGCCACATTTATATGCCGAGAGCTGTGCGTGCGTGCTCTCAGCGCTATTGATATATCATGGTACTGAAGAAGTATGTTATCTTCCAATGGCATGAATGTCAAACTGCTGTACTAGGGCAAACCGCCCCCAAACCCGACAGTAATATCGAAGAAATAATGAGGAATATAATACAGAGAGAAAAGTGATACATGTCAGGTAATATATTAAAGAAATTTTCGAGAAGATCAAGTTGATGTAATACGAGGCTGTTTTTTTTTTCTTTTTTGCCGTATATTTTTGGCAGTTATCCATGCGCAGGGTTTTCCATTAGGAGGAAAAAGCATGTCTCTCCATACCTCCCCCCCCCCCCCCCTCTTTTCAGTTGGTCGAGTCCGAAAGAAAATAAGCTCGACATTGAAAGCAATCAAAAAAACGCCAGGCCTGCGTGGGAGGCACAGCACACTGCCACAGTGAAAGCTAGAAGAGCAGCTTTTCAGAGCCTTTTCAAAACACTCATTGGGTAACTACTGCAAGCACACTTGCTTGATACCCACTAGGAAATTATAATAACACTCCCCAAAAGGCTAGGACGATGATGCGTCAGTCGTGGCAGGCTCTCGAGCAGAGAAGAGGCCAGCAATCTTCTGTTTTTCTCCAGATTGAGAGCCACTCTTGCTGTCGACCCACTACGTGTGGGTGGCAATATACACTGCGCTGCGTTATCTTGCAAATGTGTGAGCCATACCTGCTACTGCATGCCAAATGAACGATGAAATGCACTACTACACGCTTTTTTGAACACAACTTTAGCAGATGTATTCAGAAACATAATTATCAAAAGTGCTGAAAGCCCGCTTATGAAACTGTGTGCATGGCCCATGAAATGCTCCACTTGGCTCCTTTCTGTATGTCTGAAACAGAAGTAGAAAAAAAGAACTATTGTAGCAGCAGCAATGCTCAGAGTTTAAACCACTATGGTGTCTACTACGTACATCACCTGTGTTTACACCACTATTTCATGAATCGCAAAAGCAGACGGTCTTTCTGGACAAGAACTGATCACATGCAGAACAAGCAGCATTATGCTACGAAGACCTATTGCTATAGTAGGCAAGAACTCAACGTTAAGCACACTATATTTCAACTGCAAAAAAATTCATAGACTAGCATAACAAATTCCATTTAAGTAGTGCCATAGTGTAGCTGTTACTTTTTCTGTAACTACTAACACCATGAAGAGTTACGCGGGGTGAACAAAATAAATTTGCATTACATTATGAAATCTTACAGAAGACAAAGCATACTGTAGACCACTGCAAAGGCCTACGAGCCAGGCTACATACTGTAATGGCACCTTTGGAGCAAGAAACAGGAGCTGTGGATAAGAGGATCAAGACTTCGTTCTCGTTTCCGTAGCCTCAACCGATCCAACACTCTGGCACTGCGCGTGATAGAGTGCTGGATGGGTAAATGCCGCCTTATTATTAACATCATGATGGAAGTATTAGCCTGATGAAGACAATAAATAATGCATCAACACAAACGGTGAGCATTAAGTTAAGAATCAAGGCTTGCATCTAGATTTTTTTTAAATCCAATAAACACCACACGACAGTTGTACATCTCATTACGGCAGGAGCTAACATGAAGATAGGTGGTTGAATGAGTGTCATATCGCTAAATTAAGTGTGTTGTTCGAGCCAATTTCTGAATAGGACAATTTCTCTAAGTTGTGGCAGCAACCATTATGCAGTTTGCTGCCTCGGTAAAGAAAAGTTCTGTTGTCGAATAACAAGCTCTAACATTTGTTCAATTATTTTTTTTTTCATCAGGTATACATCTCAACACATTCATTCCAAATCCTCAACTTTAACAAATGTTTCTATTGTAATGATACGGGGTGCAAAACTTAAGCTGCAGAGGACTAGGCATTTAGCGGGGGTCTGGCTGCTCAACAGTTTTATAACACTATGCCCATGATGCTAAAGATGAGTGATTGGACAAGAGAACATACAATTACCAGAGCAGTAAACTGTATCAAGTTTACTGCCACAACTTAGACCAACGGTTTTTGTTCAAACATTCAAAACAACCAAATCTTGAAAAATCTTGATTGGCTCCAAGAACAAACTTTCTTTAATGATTTGACCCTCTATCAAGACCCCCCTTTCCTATTATCATCTTAACTTCTGCCATAATACCACAACTGTCATATAGTGCTTGATAGAATTTTAGGATATGAACAGTAAGCCTTTCTTCTCAATTTATTGCTCACCCTTTATGTTCATGCTTTAATGACTGTCTTATCAGCCAAAGAACCCAGGGTAAAAATGTGTGAAGGTGTCTTCAATTTTTATAGCCAGAAGTACTTTTAACTTTTGGTAAATGCACTTAAACAATGTAATTTTATTCTACAAGAAAGAACCACTCTTGTAAAAAATATACTAAAAACACTGCATTTCGCCATGTTTGATTTGATTGATATGTAGGATTTAACGCCCCAAAACCACCATATGATTATGAGAGACATCGTAGCGGAAGGCTATGAAAATTTAGACCATTTGAGAATATTTAACATGCACCCAAATCTGGGCACACGGGCCTACAACATTTCCGCCTCCGTCAGAAATACAGCCACCGCAGCCAGGATTCAATCCAGCGACCTGTGGGTCAGCAGGCGAGTATCATTGTGCCATGTTTCCTCGCGACCACAATTACCATAAACTGAAACAAAATTATTTCGATAATCTAGCCTTGACATTTTGCTGACAAAGAAACAAAGACAGTGGAAGAACCATGAAGAACAATCATGTGTTTCCAAGCACCAGTTTCGGAAAATATTGGAAATGATCAAGAAACCACTTCACAGACTAACATGACAAGACCACGAACTTGCAACTATTACAGGTTAATGCAAAGTCACAGTTTCCGAGGCAGCCCAATGGCTTATGTCTGTCCATCTGTACTACCTTCTGTCTGCCTTTGGGCCGGTTTTGTAGAATGTCTGCCGAGAAAACAAAAACATTAAAAAACAGTTAGCTTTTTCAAGTATGCTCCATGTAACACAACCTAACTTTTTCGGCCTCATGAGGTAGCAGTCTCGAAAGCATGCTAACAGCTGCTGCTTTATGTATTTATATCTCATACCCCATTTGCAGGCTCCAAAATAATGCCCAGTCATTAAGCAAGAAGTCTAACAGAGAAAACAGAAACAACATTTTGCACTAGACATAAATTAATTTCTTAATACTCACTCAATAAACTATTTTTCTTACGCATTATATGCATACATGTTGAAAAGACTGGGCATGTAAACATGGCTGCTGGTGAGTCAGGACACTTCAAATGCCAACAACCAATGAGAAGATAGACTAATGGAACATATAAGTCAGCTAACCAGACGCCCCTTATTAAATCTATCTTTATATCATGACGTAAATGCATGCCAAAATTCGAATCACGCAGTTTCCTACAAGCAGAGAAATGGAGAAATGCATCTAATATTGAGGCTTGGCATAGCGACATATGGTAGGGCATGTGTGAGCCAATCATTAAATATCTCAACGAAGAAATCAAATTCTGAGCATTTATTTCTCACAAAGACCAACAGGCATGTCATCTTGATCGATATCTCCACTTGCCTTGTTTTGCTTCTAGGCTAATCTCAACTTTTCCAGTTGGTGTTTGCGGTGTCCTCACTACTCTCTCGAGTTCATGTTTCCATGCCCTGCCTTTTTAATGTGGATACAAACCTACTAAGCAGCTCACCTCTCCTATTTGAAATGTGTATACAATCTAGAATTACCACTTTGTTCACTTGATGTAACAATAATAATGGGGTTCTGAATGTAGATGTCAATTCAAAAGCACTTAACCATCTAGCATTTTAGCCTCCCTTAAAAGTTCAACTGTTGCCCTAAAGATCAAAATCACTCTGTACGGGAGTTGTTCACATGGTAGCATAGCTGTAAGCAACGTAAGATCAATTTTAGGACTATGAAAAGAGCTCTAGATAAAAGCAAAACACGCAACTAGCAAGAAGAACATATTATCCGGCCTAGAATCTATATCTGCTAACCAAGAATGCTGTGGTGCAGGCCATGCACCTCGGCAACTGTTCAGCTTTTCTATCTGAACCAAAGCTTAGTAGAGTCAATATTTATATGTAGAGATTGCTCTAAAAACAGCAGTTAAGTTGCCAAAATTTAAAAGCCAAAAGACCAAAAAAAGCTCCACGAATAATACAATAATAAACACTTAATGATGCAAGTACACCCAAAACACCGTATTAAATGCGCTGGTTGAATAGGTATTAGGCAAGCAAAGCAGCAAAGCAATGAACTGCCAGCTATGTAGCTGCAAAATAAAAGAAAGGAGGTGGCTCTAGTGACACGAAAAATCTATGAAAGTACTATCAACAGAAAAAGTTTGGTAGATGTTGAATCCACAACAAATGTGAATTTCGATACATCGGTACTTAATGCTTGTAATTAGGCTGGTGACTGCATAGATCAGAATGCGAAGTGCAGTATGAAATACTTCTTTCAAAATTACATTCTCAGACAAAGTAAAAATTTAGCTTCATCGAACAAATCCTATCACGCAAACTTTTGCTATTGATGGTACCTATTGAACATACAGAATGTTTCGTATAATAAACACATAAATATTGACAGAAGCTGCAGGCTATTTTACAGATGAGCATTGCAAAATATCAATCAACAAAGCCATGCAGTGCATAAACTGACCATTCATAATTGAAATGTAAAAATCTACTAAACAACCCTACTGTCTGAAATTTCTGATAACTGCGAAATTGTAAAATGTGAGCACGTTGCCACAAATTTTGTGTTCACATGATCAAATGATGAAGTTACAGCCAATAAAACACACATTGTAGCTGTTTTCAGTTTCTCACTAGGCTTCTCCATCGTTCTCATCATGAAGAGGGGTACGCATACATAACCATCATGACTACAGTCACATGGCAACAAACCCTGACGTTAGTGATTAAGCAATCAACATGCAGCCATCAACTAAGCAAGGCCTCGAAGTGCTGCTGTGCTAGATCGGCATGGTGAGGAAGTACTGTGCAAGGCATAGGTGACATAAACAAATATGCAGCACGCCTCACGACACAATCTATACGGCATAATTTTATGGCCAAAACACTATTTCATATTTCAGAGAGAACAAACCGACAGTCAGTGCAACATTATATCACTTCACTAGTGAAGAGTATACACTGGTCAGGCAATGAAGGGGGTCACCATAATTGTTTTTCGAAATAAAGTTCCTGTGATACTCACACAATGCGATTGCTGCGAAACATAACTGTCAAAAGTGCTGAAAGCCCGCTTATGCAACTGTGTGCATGGCCCATGAACACCTCCACCAGGCTCCTTTCTTTATGCCTGAAAAGGATGTACATGAAAACTATTGCAGCAGCAGCAATGTTCAGAGTTTAAACCACTATGTTGTCTACTACATACATCACCTCTGTTAACACCACTATTTCATGAATCACAAAAGCAGAGGGTATTTCTGGACAAGAACAGATCACATGCAGGACAAGCAGCAGGATGCTACGAAGACCTATTGCTATAGTAGACAAGAACTCAACGTTAATTGCACTATATTCCAACAGAAAAAGAATTCATAGACTAGCATAACAAATTTTGTTTAATTAGTGCCATGGTGTGGCAGTTACAATTTCTGTAACTACTAACACCATGGAGAGTTATGTTGGGTGAACAAAAGACTTTTGCATTACATTATGAAATCTTACACAAGACAAAGCATACTGTAGACCACTGCAAAGGCCTACGAGCCAGGCAACATATTGTAATGGCACCTTTGGAGTGAGAAACAGGAGCTGTGAGATAAGAGGATCAGGACTTCGTTGTCTTTTTCGTAGCCTCAACCCATCCAACACTCTGTCACTGCGCGCGACAGAGTGCTGGTTGGGTACACGTCGCCAACATAATGGTGGAGGTATTAGCCTGATGAAGACAATAAATAATGCATCAACACAAACGGTGAGCATTAAGTTAAGAATCAAGGCTTGTATCTAGATTTTTTTTAAATCCAATAAACACCACACGACAGTTGTACATCTCATTACGGCAGGAGCTAACATGAAAATGGTGGCTTGAATGAGTGTCCTCACTAAATTAAGTGTGTTGTTGGAGCGAATGTTTGCATCAGACAATTTGTCTAAGTTGTGGCAGCAACCTTGATGCAGTTTGCTGCTTCGGTAAAGAAAAGTTCTGTTGCCGAACAACAAGCTCTAACATTCGTTCAATGATTTTTTTCATCATATATACATCTCAACACATTCATTACAAATCCTCAACTTTAACAAAAGCTTCTATTATAATGATACTGGGTGCAAAACTTAAGCTGCAGAGGACAAGACATTTAGCAGTGGTCTGGCCGCTCAACAGTTTTTTAAATCTATGTCCGTGATGCTAAAAATGAGCAATTCCACAAGAGGTCATCCATTTAACAAAGCAGCAAACCGTATCAAGGTTACTGCCATGACTTAGACAAATGATTTTTGTTCAAACATTCAAATCAACCTAATTTTGAAAAATCTTGATTGGCTCCAGAAAAAACATTCTTTAATGATTTGACCCTCATTCAAGCCCCCCCCCCCCCCCCCCTATCATCATCTTAACTTTTGCCATAATAAGACAACTGTCATGTAGTGTTTGATAGAATTTTAAGATATGGACTGTAAGCCTTTCTTCTAAATTTAATGCTCACCCTTTACGTTTATGCGTTATTGACTGTCTTATCAGCCAAAGATCCCAGGGTGAAAATATGTGAAGGTGTCTTCAATTTTTACAGCTTTAGAACCAGAAGCACTTTTCACTCTTGGTAAATTCCCTTAAAACAAACAATTCAATTTTATTTTACAAGAAAAAACCATTCTTGTAAAAATATACAAAAAACACTGCATTTTGCCATGCTTGATTTTATTGATATGTGATATTTAACGTCCCAAAACCACCATGTGAAAGTGAGAGATGCCATAGTGGAGGGCTCCAAAAATTTCGACCACCTACAACATTTCCGCCTCCATTGGAAATGCAGCTGCTGCAGCCTGGACTCATTCCCGCGACCTGCGGGATATGGGCGAGAACCATTTTGCCATGTTTTTTTCACAACCAAAATTAGCATAAACTGAAACAAAAATTATTTCGATACCATAGCCATGAAATTTTGCTGACAAAGAAACAAAGACTGGTAAAAGCATGAAGAAACAATCATGTGTCAGTTATTTTTCTCCCATAACTCAATTATTGAGCACATGGTTGCAAAGGCCTCTGCTGTGTTGGAAAGTTTTTCGCCAAAAATAGTGCTGGAACAACTTCTTCCCACATTGAGGCATCAAAGCACCGCTTTGGGAAAATATTGCAAATGGTCAAGAAACCACTTCACAGACTAACATGACAAGACCATGAACTCGCAAATACTTACAGGTTAATGTTCAGTCACAGTTACTGAGACAGCCCGATGGCTTCTGTGTGTCCATATCTACTGCCTTCCGTCGACATTTGGACCAGTTTTTGTAGAATATCTGCTGAGAAAACAAAAAACATTAGAAACAGTTCACTTTTTCTAGCATGCCCCATGTAACACAACCTAACTTTTTCGGCCTCATGAGGTAGCAGTCTCGAAAGCATGCTAACAGATGCTGCTTTATGTATGTATATCTCATACCCCATTAGTAGGCTCCAAAATAATGCACAGTCATTGTTAAGCAGGAAGTCTAACAGAAGAAAACAGAAATATTTTACACTAGACATAAATTTAACTTCTTAATACTCACTTAATAACCTATTTTCCTTACACATTATATGCATACATGTTGAAAAGACTGAGCTTGCAAACATGGCCGCAGGTGAGTCAGGACAGTTAAAATACAAACTAACAATGAGAAGGCAGACTGACGGAACATATAAGACAGTTAACCAGAGATGGTTCAGCGAACTGGGAGCGCAGGGGTAAACACAGACACAAAGCAAAGAAGACTCAAAGAGGACTTGAGCGCTCGTGCTGTGTGCCTCATCTTTGCTTAGTGTCTGTGTTTACCCCCGCGCACCCAGTTCTCTCAACCATCATGAATTAATAACTAGCCCACCTTTTCATCCTATTGCATTTAACCAGAGGCCCATCATTAAACCTATCTTTATATCACGACGTAAATGCATGCCAAAATTCGCATCATGCAGTTTCATACAAGCACAGAAATGAAGAAATGCATCTAATAGTTGAGGCTTAGCCTAGCGACATGTGGTAGTGCATGTGTGAGCCAACCATTGAATAACTCAACGAAGGAATCAAATGCTGAGCAGTTATCTCTCACATAGGCCAACAGGCATGCCGTCTTGATCGATATCTCCAATTGCCTTGTTTTGTTTCTAGCTTAATGTCAACTTTTCCAGCTGGTGTTTGCGGTATTTCGACTACTCTCTCGAGTCTATGTTTGCATGCCCTGCCTTTTTAACATGAATAACAACCTCCTTAGCAGCTCACCCCTCCTATTTGAAAGATGTGTATGATCTAGAATTACCACTTTGTTCATTTGATGTAACAGTAATATTGGGGTTTTGAATGTGAATGTATATTTAGAAACACCAAGTCCTTTAGAATTTTTGCCTCCTTCAAAAGTGCAACTACTGCATAAAGATCAAATCCACTCGATGCGGGGCTTCTTCGCATGGTAGCATAGCTGTAAGCAACGTAAGATAAATTTTAGGACTATGAAAAGAGCTCTAAGTAAAAAGCAAGACACGCAACAAGCAAGGAGCCACATATTATCCGACCTAGAACCTATATCCGGTAACCAAGAATGCTGTGGCGCAGGCCATGCACCTCGGCAACTGTTCAGCTTTTCTTTCTGAATCAAAGCTTAGTAGAGTCAATATTGATATGTAGAGATCACTCTAAAAACAGCAGTTAAGTTGCCAAAAATCAAAAGCCTAAAGACCAAAAAAAGTTCCACGAATAATACAATAATACACACTTAATGATGTAAGTACACCCAAAACACCGTTTTAGAGGTGCTGGTTGAATAGGTATTAGGTAAACGAAGCAGCAAAGCAATGAACTGCCAGCTATGTAACTGCAAAAGCGGAGAAAGGAGGTGGCTCTAGTGCCATGAAATATCCATGAAAATACTATCAACAGCAAAAGCTTGGTAGATGTTGAATCCACAACAAATGTGAATTTCGATACATCGGTACTTAACGCTTGTAATTAGACTGGTGACTGAATAGGTCGGAATGCCAAGTGCAGTATGGAATATTTTTTTTAAATTACATTCTTAGACAAAGTGAGAATTAAGCTTCATCGAACATTTCGTGTCCCACAAACTTTTGCTGTTGATAGTACATATTAAACATACAGAATGTTTCGTATAATGAACACATAAATATTGACAGATGCTACAGACTAATTCACAGATGAGCACTGCAAAATATAAATCAACAAAGCCATGCAGTGCATAAACTGACCATTCATAATTGAAATGTAAAAAGCTACTATACAACCCGACCATCTCAAATTTTCGATAACTGCATAAATTGTAAATTTTGAGCACGTTGCCACAAATATTGTGTTTACATGATGAAATGATGAAGTAACAGCCAATAAAACACACATTGTAGCTGTTTTCAGTTTCTCACTCGGCTTCTCCATCGTTCTCATCGTGAAGAGGGGTACGCATACGTAACCATCTGCAGTCAGAAGCCAACAAAGCATGACGTCAGTGATTGTGCAATCAACATGCAGCCATCAACTAAAGAAGGCCTTGTTGATGTGCCGCTATGCTACATCGGCACGGTGAGGAAGTACTGTGCAAGGCATAGGCGAGATAAACAAATATGCAGCACGCCTCACAACGACCCAATCTACACCGCGTAATTTTAAGGCTAAAACACTATTCCATATTGCAGAGAGAACCAACCGACAGTCAGTGCAAAATCACATGAAGAGTATACACTGGTCAGGCATGAAGGGGTCACCATATTTGTTTTTCGAAATGAAGTTTCTGCGATACTCACACAATGCGATTAATGCAGCACCCTGTAGGAATTAGCGAGATGGTCTGCAAGGTGATAAAAAAGACAAAGCAAAAGCTGCCTAATCGCACTTTGAGAGAATGTAAAACACACTGTGCAGGGAATTACTTTTGCAGGCATATTCCTATAAGCTATAAAACTGACAAATAACATGCCTACTCTATGCAACATAGGAATGCCTCACGCCTTTGCAAGACCTTTACTGTGATGACTGCACAGTCTGTGTAGGCCAGAGGCAGCCAGCCCATGGCTTTCAGGCATCTGATCCGATTGTTGAAAAGAACTTGTGGCTCACATCCTTGTAGCACTGCTTTTGGGAAGTGCTTCCTGTGATAACAAAAGTAGCACAGCACAATTATTCTCTGTAAACACTCACATGAAATCCACATTGGTGCCTTTTAAAAAAATTCAGCTATAGACTGAACCACAGACATACTTGCTTCAGTTATAATGGAGCACCTTATTGCTTTCCCTGGCCTGGTTTTTTGTTTTCACCCATGAAACAATCTAGCAGAAGTTAAGCTTTAGTTGGGGAAAAAGCAGTTGAAAAGCATAAATTTATTATACAATATAAAAAATTGGATAATTTTGCATGATATATGAAATATAATTCTTGTATAGTGCCACCACCAAAAAATGAGGGAGCAAGCTGTGACATTAAGGTGTCACAAAATAATGGAGTTTCTGGAAAATGCAATATACAGCTAGGTAATTTTGCTATTGAAATGTGCTGTTACTACTGACTCTGTAGCTGCAAGTGCCTGCTGAATCTACTCGAGTGCATTTAGCAAACCTATGTAATAACACTGACAGAGAAAACCCAGTTCTCACTTAGCTGCCCCCATCACAGCATCATGTTGCTTCACATAAGGGTTCCTGGTATGCAGGTTGCAGATGCATGAACTTTGTGGCTATGTCGTACCACAGTGAATGTGATCGACATCTGCTCGAACTACGTGAGCAGCTGAAAAATGCTCCATTGTGCAATTAGCTGTAACAATGCAGTGTTGCTAGCTACCAGTCGCTTCACAGTACACCCTTAACAAATTTTGGCACCAGCAAGGTTTCACAGTGTATACAAGCGTCTGAACACAGTATTCAATGCTACCAGTTGCATTCTCTAATTTTATATCTAGATGAATAGAACATGCACACAGTAGCCAATAATTGTGCCAAGTAGAAGAGTCCATTTTAGGTACTCTGCAAAATTCATAGTCAAGAATCAGGTTCATCACTCAAGCCTGTTGTTTAGCATTATAAGAGAAAGTGTGCTTGCAAACGTACACAGAAAAATTAGCAATCGACAATGAAAAATGGTAAAAATTAGGTTCATGTTTGGCAGAAACAAATCGCATACAGTAAAGACAGTCCAAGACACTGCTATGATAATGTTGTAAATTTCAAAATGGGTCACTATTCTATACACTATGCATGCATTTACAAGAAAGATAACAATGCTTGATGCAAGAAACAATGAAGTTTTACAGTTTTTGCGAAATTCCACTAGCCAGTACCCCATTCTACAGAAAGGCAATACTTTGCGAAACCAAGTCACGTTTCCAGACGAAATGCACTCGCCATGGTGACGAATAGGTGAAGTACTCTTCTACAGCATGATTTATTGGAACTCAAAATTCTGATAACAATTATTTCTTATTATAGCTAGCAAGAGCCTCTCTACTGTTGTTTATGTGAAGTAATTTTATGTCAGTGGGAGGCCACAAGAATAAGGGCCACACATTAATGAGTGCAAAAAACCACAGTGACTAGTTGTGCAGCAATTTCCAACTATCCTTTATTCATGGAAACTATTGCACTTCTTTCTCAAATAAGAGTTGCACATAATTAACACTTTGGCATGAATATAGTTAAGTTCTAGGTAGCATACATCCTGATTTTACTCTGTATACCCTCACTTATTTTGCAATATTTTCACTTCGACATGACTAGCTCAAAACAACACTCTTCTTCATTAAATAGAACTTTGTACTATACCTTTGAGTTAGCCACATATGCTGAATAAGCACCTCTTATAGGATGCTTGGCTCACCGTGTGGTCAGCACTGCACAGTTCGTCAGGGCACTTCTGTTTGCTACCTGCAGTACACAGCAAAAAAACTTAGGCATTCAAACAAAAACAAAGCAAGTATGGCAGCAGCATTTCGTCCTTTGGAGATAGAGAAGGGGGATGGGTAATGCTGTATTGTTCTTGATAAGCTACACACACATGCACAAACTGTTTTAGTTTGGCGCATAAACAGTATAAATGAGTGAAAATGGTTAGAGGAGACAGGTGGCCGCATATTTGAAATCCTCCAAAGAAGGAAGAAACACGCACTTGGTATTTTACAGTATACAGTGCCATCTATGAAAAGTATGCAAAGTGCTGAATTTTACTAACACTTGGACACTATTAAGCCAATGTGAAACGACAACGTATTGCACTCGCTTCGCTGTCCAGCTGGTGCTTCCAAAATTTCCTGAAGTTGCACAGACAGCAAACTGGTCTGGCCAAATTTAAGTATACCCATTCCATTAACAAGCACCGCTGGCCTCAACTCCAAGTGACAGCACCAAATGAAGTCATTTAATAGTGGCATGCAACTAATGCTAAGTACCTAAGCGTTTGAATGAAATATTTTTAAAATATAGTATTAAAATATGTTTACCAGCAACAGTCATACTACATTATACCAAGGAGTGCTAGCGATATCACTGCAAACACTCAGAGCAATGTCAACGACATATCTCAGAGACCTTCGCAGTCTTTTATTGAGCTGCAGTTAAAGGCGGCAGCCGCTAAATGTACTTTGAACCCCTTCTTTCACAAACCGAGTGAGCTGCTTTTCTTCAAAAGAGCTTGCGGGCGCAAGGTGCAGGCATTGACGGAGGTAAATATAGCCCCGGCAACGGGGACTACACCGCTCGGAGTTGATGTGCCGGCACTCTAACCAAACTGTTACAGCGAAGGTAGCTTCTTCGTCCCTTTTCGCCCTATGAGCTTGGGAAGCGCCCATGCTAACGCGCTGTGCACTGTTGGGACTCCGGGTCCTGCCGGTCTCGTTTTCGGTAGCTGGCCCCGTAGCAGGATCCATCGTCCGACAATTCAGTGAGAAGAAGCGCCCGAACGAACGACAGATTTATTTACATGTTGAGAAGTGATCAACTGATCCAAAGAGAGAAGAGAGAGAGATACAAAACGTCTTCGGCATTTTATAGCGCCGCGTTGTCGACACTGGGCGCATTGTCCGCATCGTCAGCCAATACGGTGGCCCCGGCACCTCGGCCACGAGGGAGGGGGAAACCCACCTCACAACACATGGAGGGGAACAACCTAACACGATGCCCAAATATGGTCACGAACGCACAGCAGATTCCGGAATTCTCCCGGCGAGAGGGAGGAGCCTGAATGGGGAGGTGGGGGGTCGACGACACAGTCGGTCAAGAACCGGTTCTCCCCGCAACTCCTCTTGCTTGGTTCCCTAGCGCAAAACCAGTGCATTGACCTTTGTTTTCGCTTGGCTGCAAGGCCGTCTCAGGTGCGGGCTATCCCGGGAATGCGTCGACGAACTCCCAGAGGGGTTCGCAAACTTTTGGAGAATCCCAATGCTGGGGCCGGTCGTAACAGTCTCTCGCGCGGGGGGGTAAAGATCTCGATGGGCTGAGGTTTGCAGCCACTGTCCGGAGAGATCAGCGCCGGCAGTCGGTTTGGTGACGACCGTCTTTGATGAAGTAGAGGGCACCACCTGCTTCATTGTAGGCTCAACAGACATCACATACGCACATGAAAACACAACTACTCAGCCGGTGAGCGCCGGTCAATTCCGCCAAACTCCACCAGGCAATTTTCCCCTTTAACTGATATTAAAGGAAATACACAATTTATTCAAAATGTTACTCATACGTTAAGGTGACACAAAACAACAACACTGGAAGCACACCGAACCCGAAACCCTGGATAGCTGTGTCTTCAACGTTTTCAAACAAGTACACCTAAAAGAGTAAAAAAAAAAAAAAGCAATCACTATCCCTTGTCTAGGTCAGGAAAAAAAAATGCCAGAGTTCTCGAGACATCCTCTCGCGTCAGGGGCATCGACTTAAGCCATCAGCGTTGCCATGGAGTACACCCTTTTTGTAGCGTATTTCAAATGTATATTGTTGCAAAACGAGGCTCCAACGCAGCAGGCGGCCTTTCTTAGAGGACATGGTCTGTAGCCAGGTGAGAAGACAATGGTCCACTTCCACAATGAACTTGCTTCCGGCAATATAACAAGCCAGTTTCTGGACTGCCCAAACCAAGCACGCACATTCCTTTTCGCTAGCGCTGTAAACCTGCTCGCGAAGGGCGAGTTTCCGGCTAACATAGAGGACGGGATGCTCTTCATTCCCCTCATCCCTTTGACTAAGAACTGCCCCCATGCCTCTATCACTAGCGTCGCATTGGACTATGAAAGGCCTCGAGTAGTCTGGTGAACTAAGCAAAGGTTGGCTCGACAAGGCCGCTTTCAAAACGCAGAAAGCCTTTTCTTTTTCCTCATCCCAGTCGATCATTTGGGGCTCGGTCTTGCGCAACGCGTCAGTAAGAGTGCTGGCAATGTCGGAATATCTAGGGATGTACTTACGATAGTAACCAGCTATTCCAAGAAAAGCCCGAATATCGGTTTTCGTTCGGGGCTGGGGAAAGTCTCGGATAGCTGCCACTTTCATTTCAGACGGACGGCGATGCCCTCGACCGATAACATGCCCGAGATAGAGTACCTCTGCTTGTGCTAGCTGACACTTGGGCGCCTTTACCGTTAAACCTGCTTCGCGTAGGCGTGTCAGTACTGCTTTCAAATGCGCCAAGTGTTCTGGCCAGGACGAGGAAAACACGGCGACGTCGTCCAAGTAAGGCAATGCGAAGTCCTCTTGACCCCGCAAAACCTTATTCATCAAGTTTGAAAAACAGTAAGGCGCGTTCTTTAGGCCAAAACTCAACACTTTGTGCGGAATGTCCCCAATGGTGAAATAAATGCAGCGTACCGGCTCGCCCTCTCGGTGAGCGGCACCTGCCAGTAACCTCTCACTAGGTCTAGCGTTGAGATAAATTCCGCGCTGCTTACCCTCTCGACGCGTTCCTCAATGTGGGGAATTGGGTAGGTCTGATCCTTGGTGATGAGGTTTAACTTACGATAGTCTACGCAAGGACGCGGATCTTTGCCGGGTACCTCCACAAGAATTAACGGGGAAGTGTAATCACTTTCACACGGCTCAATCACGCCCAATTCCAGCATCCTGTTAACCTCTGCTTTTATTAGCTCAAGCCGGCGAGGTGACACCCGATACGTCAGATCTTACCGGTTCCGACGAGGTAAGCTCTATGTCATGAGTGAGGACGGATGTCCGGCCTGGCTCGCTTACAAATCTGTCCTGAAACTCGGTCAAAAGACCACGCAATTCCTGCTTCTGCTTCATTGTCAGCTGTGACTTTGATACTAAATCCTCAACTCTTTTCTCGATCGGGACTTCGTCCGATTCGGGAGCTAATTCAGGAATTTCTGCCGGAACCTCTTCCGGAACATTTACAGTCATGTTCACGATGGCTTCCCTCTCTTTATAGGGCTTGAGTAAATTGCTATGATACACCTGGTGTACCTTACGACTTCCTGGTAATTTTACCACATAGTTGGTGTCAGACAATTTTCGAGTAATCTCGGCCGGGCCGACCCATTGCACTTCAAGCTTATTCTTTTGGGAGGGCCTCAACAACATGACCCTGTCTCCTACAGCAAAGTGTCGCGCTTTAGCTGTTCGATCGTAGTAAAGCTTAGCCTTCTGCTGTGCTTTGGTCATCGCACTCTCGGTCAGTTCTTGGGCTTTTGTTAGACGATCCAACAAGATGAGGACATATTCCACTACAATAGGATCATCACCGTGACCTTCCCACGACTCTCTCAGCATACGAAGAGGAGATCGCAGTCTGCGGCCGTAAACAAGTTCCGCTGGCGTAAATCCTGTTGTCTCATGTGGTGCAGTTTTTAGTGCAAACATCGTTGCAGGTAAGCACATTTCCCAGTCAGTTTTTCGTTCAAAACATAAGGCTCTTAACACTCGCTTCATCACGGAGTGAAGCTTCTCTATAGAGTTCGACTGCGGATGGCAGACTGAACTATGCAATAATTTCACGCCACACCGCTCTAGAAAGGTTGTCGTTAAGGCACTCGTGAAAATGGTGCCCTGGTCTGATTGTATCTCGGCAGGAAAGCCTACCCGGGCAAACACGGACAGAAGTGCGTTCACTACTTCCACGGAACTTAGCTCTTTTAGCGGGACCGCCTCTGGAAATTTAGTAGCTGGGCAGATTAAGGTCAGGATGTGACGGTAGCCTGAAGTTGTCTTGGGCAAAGGACCTACTGTGTCAATTACCAACCGACGAAAGGGCTCCGTGATTACGGGTACCAGCTTCATTGGAAATTTCGCCTTATCTCCCAGCTTACCCACTCGCTGACACACATCGCAAGATTTTACAAACCTCTCTACATCTTTAAAGCATCCAGGCCAGTAGTATTCCTGTAAAAGACGATTTTTCGTCTTCTTTACGCCTAAGTGGCCTGACCATGATCCTCCATGCACCAAACTAAGCAAATCCTGACGATACGCCTGAGGTACGACTACCTGGTCAAACTCTACTCCTCGCCTATCTAGATATTTTCGATAGAGTATGCCGCTCCTCTCTTGGAATCTCACATTTCGTTTGGCGATTCCCTCTTTCGAACTGTCCTGGAATTGCTTAAGCGTCGGGTCACCTTTTTGTTCGGTTATTAATGATGCGGGGCTCACCTGCAGCAGCCAACTGAAATTATCCGAAGTTGGCATGACACACAACTCTTTTGTAGTTCCTAGTACCTGGAATGTGTCACCCTCTGTGCTATCCTCTGTACTACCAGGAATCGGCTCGGGAGCAACGGCATTTTCTATTTGCTCGGTCAACGAGGCATAATTGACCCCTTCTAATTCGGGAGGAGGTTCATCGTCACCTTTAGGAATGGTTGCCTCCGCGACTATGGCTTCTGCAGCCTGTTCTCGCACAAGTCGATTTGTTACCGTGGTGTCCAACTCGCAACCAGGCCCGTTATCGATTTGAGGCTTGTTTGCCTCAGTGAATGTTGCTCTCGCAGCCAGTGCACGTGCCTTCAATCTAGTCAGTGCCTGCACTATGCCTTCTCCCAACGTTAGACCTTTCTCCTTCAGCATTTGATCTGACTTGTTTGAAAATAAGTAAGGATACTGCGGGGGTAGATATGGCGATACCGCGGCTTCCGTTTCCAACGTACCAAATGCGCCTTTAAGGACAACTTTAGCTACGGGAAGGCACTGACTGTTTGCTTCTACGGCTTGTCTAATCCAGGCACAGTCTCCTGAATACTGTCCGGACTGAACAAAGGACGGATGAACTACGTCCATAGTGGCTGCGGAGTCTCTAAGAGCCCGACACTGCTTGCCGTTCACGGTAAGGTCGTACATATAGGGCTCTAACAACTTCATGTTCTCGTCGGCTTCATTTATAGATGAAAAGGCCACCTTTTCTTTCGGGCAATGTTTCGCGAAGTGCCCTGTTTCGTGGCAATTGAAACAAGCCACCGGTTTTTTTGCCTCAAATTTCCTTTTGCTTGCCTCTGCCGACGC